ACACTATATAACCCAAAAGTTTGTACCAGTACGGGGAACAAGACTTCGGCTTTATTGTTCCTTGCATGCAATAAACTCATCTGTTTTACTTCATCTCGGGATCAAGAACCTTATTCGTTCTGTTACAACAGTGTAAATATATTATATGATAATATATGATAACTGATACAGATATGGATATAAATCAAGATTTAGTTAAATCAACTTTTGTAATACTGTATCTATAATTGAGATACAATAAAATACAATCAATAAAGTGAAGTCCATAATGTAAAATGACAGAAACGGCAGAAACAGAGATAATTTATTATGCTTATTAAAATTTGTGGCAACACGGCTGCGAAAGTAAGCCAGTTCTACATGTTTTTTATTGGAAACAACTCAGGCAATGATGTGACTTACTTGCTTAGTAACACACTCTGCAAGTACTACATGAATTAACTTACAGATAAAGCATACAATTCTAACTGTAAATGGATACAGAAATGCTCCATCATCTATAATGTCTGAAATGTGTTATCATATAATATTTAAAACATTGAGAGTCTAAACATATATAGTCTATAACTATAGTCGCAAGAAAGCAATATCAGTGGACAGAGAGAGTAGTCTTATTGTCCACTGGTAATATATACTGTACATTGGAAAAGGACTTGGGAAGAGAACAATTAAACACCCTCAATACATTCTCTCTTGACCTGACCATCAAACCTGAAACTGATTAATAAAATATGAAAAATCATGATCAAAAATGATACCACAGCCTGTGCCACCTTCCATATCTCATGTACAGATGCAGAAGCAAAGACTTGAGTTACTGCAAAATGACATTTGTGAAATCCTGGAGACAGGATGTCAAGATGGAGTAGGAGACATCAAAATCTTTCTTAGAGAAACAGAAAACGGTGCTTAATTCATGACAATTCCACTAAAAAGCAATAAAATAGGCTTCAAAGGAAAACCGGTGCTCTCTTGACAGTTTGGAGTCTAGATTCGACATCAGGACATGTTCTCAACACTTGAATAAAACCAAAAAGGGTCATAATTCACATCTTGGGTATGGGACTAACCCAAATAGGTTCAAACACATAATATTAATCTACATAAAAATAATTTTAAAACACACAATTCTGAGACTACCAAATTAGATGCTTTGGATTCCTCTAGGCTATAAAAATATTTTCCTATCTAATTGGGAGAATACCAAGCTGTTAATTAGCCCAGAACCTTGCAATATTTGGTAAGCATGTAATTAGAAATTACAGGTATACCATCTTTTGAGGAAGCATTATAACTAAGACAAATTCACCTAGGGCTGGGGGGTTGTTTTCTATTAGACTACAGATGTACATACAGAAGATCATAATCTTAGACACTGAAAAGCAATCATAATCCTGGAGGACCACTGTGTTTGCAGGTTTTTACCCCATTTCAACTCTAAAGCCTAAAGCAGCTCCTTCTTCTAGATCATTCAGTTTTAGGGCTCTGAAGAGATCTAGAAAACCTGCAAACATAGGACCAACATGAACATAAATACATAACAAAGGTTACAAATGAGATTTTAGGCCATTTGGCCCATGTAATCCATTTAGTACTTAGTAGTTAAGTGATCCAAGGATCTCATCCAACAATGTCTTAAATGAAGCCAGGCCTGTATCACATGGCTGAGTACTGTAGCTTGTTTCACAGTCCCACAGCCCTTCGGATTAAGCAGTGCCT